ATTTACAAACCCGATTATTCTGGGAGCCATAGGGACCTCCCTTAAAGGGTATAGATTAGGTCTGTCCCTTTCATCATCGCTATCCCCCGTGTTTTGTTTCCTTGTTTTTTGCCGAGTTCTACTGGCAGGAGGAGATGCATTTTCCCGGTGTGGTATGTGTGTGTGTGTGTCTCCCCATGCTGTGTGGAGAGGGGGGGGTGGGGGCTGAGATGGTCCCAGAGTGCCTGCATCAGAGACTTGTGTATTAGGTGGTGGTGCAGGCTGAGCTGGGGGGGGCTGATGGGGGGACTGCCGGGACCAGTGCTTGAACTTGGGGGAACCTGGTATGGGGGGGGCAGGTTTTCTAGGGGTTCCCAAGTTTTTTCCGAGCTTACCTTGCTGCCAGAGGTTTTAATAGGAAACATCCGCGTGCTGGCATATTCCCATAGCCTGGCATAGTCTAATTCCTCATCGTCCCATTCCTCTTCCTCGTACAAGTGATCCGAAAGTGCTTGGCAGAGCTTACTCTCGAAGGTACCAAAGACGGGCCAGTATTAGAATTTTCCAATTTCCATATTTCCCCATACGTCTACACGATAGTGTATCATTTTTTCTTTGGACCTTTTCCGTCTAACAGAACAGTCCTCCCAGTGTTCTAACATCCAGCCCAGGGGACTTTCCCTCAGAATCTCAGGGAATTCGTCCTTTTTCCCCTCCCTTATTTTTGAATGCTTACCTTTTCTTGTTTTTAGGAGTTCACCCTTTCCCGGCTTAGGATTTTCCCTTCGTGGTCCCCCCCGCACTTTACTGGTTTTCTGTCCCATATTAAAAAAAATTCCTTACCGTGTTACAAGTCAGTGTCCACAAGTTGTTCCGAGAAGTCAGTTACCCGCGTGCTAAAATGTGTATTTCAGTCCTATCCCAGACTGAGTTTACTAAGTGTTTAAACCGGCCTCTCCAACCAAACCTTGCCAACCTAAATAACCACACAGCGAACCAGTCTGTGGGTTTTTCGGCTGGAAAATGAATGAGCTCTCTTTTACCTGTTTTCCTGGGCTCCCCGAGCCCAGAGTCGGTGAGGTTTACCAATTTCTCGAGTCCACGAGAATGTACCTTCCCTCCCCCGACCCGTCTGTGAGTGGATCCCTGTAAACTCCCAGAGTTTCAGGTCGTATGCGTGTTGTGAGTACACTCGAGTCCTTTCACTTCCCCCGTAGCCGACCACCTCCTTCTCGGGCTAGTGGAACTGCGGTTTTTGGGGTCCTCACTCGCACCGTGACTATGTCATGTCTCACTCAAACACACACCCACCCACGCGCCACCCAACCACGCAGTACTCACGGCTCCTTTTCCCGCGTGGATTCTTAGTGCACGTCAATGTTACGAGTGAAAAATTGCTGCAGCCTTGGAGATTTAGCTCCGAATTCCGAGAGCTCTGGTCCCATTTATACCCTTTCCTTAATGTGGCTTTTCGGCTGTTTTCGGAATCTGGTTGGTTCCGTGGAGTCCCGCAGTCCTGTCCGGCTGCTGAAATCAGCAGGGCGCCGCCCGGATCCAGGATAGGGAACTCCCTGGATACCCCCAAACCAGATCACGTAAGGGGTCACCAAGTTTGTTATAAATGAAAAGGTATTCAGCCAAATTAAAAAAACAAAACAGTTTTATTTGCGGTCAAATTCTATCTAGCCAGCCACAGGAAAAAAAACCAATGCCGAGCTCGGGGTCAGCCCTGGGTGTGCAACAAGGAGTCAGCCTCATCAGAGGTTTTCCTCCATGCCCACACCTCCATCCTGGCACAAACGGGTTTTATAGGGAAAATTCCGCCTGAGGCCAAGATTTTTGCAATCAGTCCTTTCTTCTATTTAGAGTCCATATGTTAATAAGATTTTCTGTTTTGGAGATGAGGGAGAATAATTCAGTGTCTGGAGTTGTTGAATCCTGTGATGAAATTTACGGAACGCTTCATTCACATGTAACTGTCTGGGTATTTCCAAGATATCCATATCAGGTCGTTTACGCGATGATCTGCACCTGGGGTCTCCCGCAGCTTTCCAGACATGGCCCATCTCCTGGTGAGCCGTATCTTCTTACTTGTAAATTAGTTTCCAACATACAGCCGGTCTCAGAGGGGAGAAGGTGGGAGGGGGGGAGGCTAGTACAAATGAGGTATAATCTAACAAGTACTTAACATTATAAATTCCATACAAGGAATGGTGCGAATTATGTTTATTACCCATAACAGGGTGATAAAAGGGGGTTACCTTTATATTAGGATCCTTAGGTGCACAATTTGTCTGGTGGAAAATGCCGAAGATGCATACCCCACATAATACATGTACAATTTTTATAGATTTTGCAAATTAGCTTCTGAAAAGAGTCCCCAATTAGAAGCACACTCAGTGAAATCATGCCCCCCAGCTCTAGCACCTTCTAAATCCTCCCCCTTCAGATGAGGACTAAACTCTGTTTATAAAAAAGTATGTCTTGAAGAGCTGGTCTCAACCTTGGTGTCTAAGGAGAAATAAGATAGCATAGGGATCCTGGAATTAGTTTTCTCTTTCTGCCTAGGAAAATACTGAAGCTAAGTTACATTAATAGGCTACAGAGCAACAAATATATGTGTAAAGAATACAGAGAATATATAAAAGAAAAAAAAAGGCAAAACTCAAGACAGCACCACCCTTGTGATGAGCCCTTCACAGAAGGATGCTACAGGCAGAAGCTTCAAGAACACAAAGTAGAGGAACAGTTCAGGTCTGAACAGTGTTGGATCTTTGCATTCAATGTCTGCTAAAAGACTGAGGTCTTCCTGGGCATGCACAGTACAGTAGGATTAGGAGGTGGCTACCTCCTACGCAGTTTTCAGGAACATGATTTTGGATTTACATGCCTATATTTTCTGCTTAGGATACAAAAGTTCTTTTCTAGTCAGCTCATACAAGCTACATATCCAAGGCAGCTGGTGCACTAGGGGAATAATCTGGGTAAATCTCAAGAAGGCCGAATGCTCAAGAAGGGTGAATGCTCAGCTGCCTCAGACCTCATCTCAGCACCAGATATGTGCTAGGCTGCCTCTGAGAGCACTTGTTAACCTCCCAACAAAGCTGAAAACATGCATCTCATTTCCTGACACCATCAGCAGAAGCTCCTACCTTTACACTTCCACCACTGCAAGCCCTCAGCAGCTGAGTGTAAACAGTTCCATGTGTCCTGGGAGCAAAATTAAATAACAAAAAATGTGCCATTTGCTTTGGACTTGATTGATGAAAACAATGACCAGGTAATAATTCCCACTTTCTGTCAACTATATATGTTTCACACCTCTCTTCCAGCTTTCTCTGAATGGTTTTTTGTTTCTGTGATCTGCTGCTAACAAGAAGCTGCATGTGAAGGTGCTTCCCATGAAAAGGTCTGTTTCCTCCACTGGCAGTACATGTAATTTGTAGAAAGCTTTCCCTTGAAAGCAAAGGCACATTTTAAGTCAGATAAACAGAGAGCTGCAGCCACAATTAGAGCTCTACAGTTTCCAGCCTTATTTGTCATAGTTCAAATATTTTCTTCTTTCCATCTGAGTGAAATCCTAGCTTCAGAGATATGGGAGATTTTAGCCCTAAACAAGAGATTCAAAAATAGTCTCCTGCTCAGAGCATTTATACAAACAGTAAGGCATATTTCTAAACAAAGAGTTGAACCCAGACTCTCGTGCCAGGGAGGTGCCTGGACTACTGGCTGCTTGGGAAGTCATTTCCTTTTTTCTTTCCACTCTGTCAAACTTTTCATTATGAGCCTTTTTCTGGAGCTGGGTTCCACTTTCAGGAAACGCTCTGGTTTTATTGAATCACTGCTTTGTCAGATTTCCCAAGCAGTTCTAATTGCAAACGCTGCCTAAAATGGAAAAAAAAAACCAACAAAACTTTTTACTTTAACAAGTCATTTAAATTTGTTTTATACTGGTGCAATAAATACCAGTTTTGATTTATAAACATGAATCTCTTTGGTCTCGTCTCCTGGATATCTGCTAAATGATGTGCTTCTATATTCTCACCTTAAGCTGCCATCTAGTTGCAGCCCTTGGCCTTGCTCCTGAGTCTGGTTTTAGCTGATTTCTGGTCTGCAAACAACAGTGACCTTGAACTGAGAGTGAACAGACCGTGTGAACCGCGCGCAGACACGAGGACGCTGGCTCATGCGTGTTAAGAAAATAAGGCCTTTTTGTTCATAATATAGAGTTTTCACATCTATAGAATAGAATCTTCACTTAGAGTTTTCACTTGTCTGAATGTTAGGAAAATAAGGCCTTTTTGTTCATAATATAGAGTTTTCACATCTATAGAATAGAATCTTCACTTAGAGTTTTCACTTGTCTGAATGTTAGGAAAATAAGGCCTTTTTGTTCATAATATAGAGTTTTCACATCTATAAAATAGAATCCTCACTTAGAGTTTTCACTTGTCTGAACATGTTCTCATTTTGCCAAGCATTCCAGAATATCTCTCAAGGACAACTTCGTTACACACTGCTTTAGGGAGTTAAAACTAAATTAGGGAGTAGAGGTAGTTAGGCATCAAAGCACCTAAGCGAATATCTTCAAGGACAGTTCCGTAATCTTGTGGAATGCGAGTAAACGTGCCTAGAGATAACATTTCTTGTTTTGAGAGAATTCCCAGATCACAGGAACAGCCCTGAGGAAGACTACTGGCCTTCATCCCACGACCACCAAAAGGCAGAAAACGACCACCTAGCAACAGAGTGCACCTGCGCAGAAAAGACACCAGAACGTCACACTTCCGGAGGAGAAGACCCAATAAGTTGGGGGGGAATGGGGCACGAAAATGCGGTAGTTAGAATAACTGCTGCCCAGTGCGCTGATTTGCTTTCGTTTCCTACCATTAATAAATCTTTTTAATTGGATTAGAAAGCCTATTGTGCTCGTTCATAACAATGCGCACGCATGTTTTACTTCCACACCTCGGGCTCGTACATGGGCATATGCCGTCGTGACCGGTCCCTCACCCCTCCAGTCGCCACGCCTTTACCGACGGCCCTTCCGACTCCCTTCGCTCTGCACGGCGCAGCGCAGCGCGGTACCTCCGCAGTGCTCCCTGGACGAAATTTCGCCAGGACTCTCGCGAGAGCGGGCAGTTCTAGATGCTCCCGACGCCTCCTACATTTCCTCTTCCCTGCCGCTGTCAGGAGGTGAGGAGTTACGGCCGTCAGTGAGCCGTCTCAATCCGCCCCCATCCTGATCAGGGCACCCTGGGGAGGCGATGAGGGGGCGAGGGCTTGAGGTCTCGGTATTTGCAGGGCTGGCACGGGGGAGGACGGGTTGGGGTTGGAGATGGCGAGCTTGGGGGTAGCTGGCTGGTGTGAGGTGGAAGCAGGTCCTAGGGAGGGGCTATGGCAGTGGTGATGACTTTTTCAGGACACCTTTGGATTTAATTGTGAAACGACAGTGTAATTTCTGAGCAGCTCCTGTAGTTAGTTATCAGCAGTAAGGTGAACAATTCAGGTTCTGCTTATTACTGTTAGAAGCTTTAATATGGGAGTTTTAATTGCTTTTTCTGCAGTTGAGATCCAAAAATGGTGCGCTACTCTCTGGATCCAGACAATCCCACGAAATGTGAGTTGCTTTCGTGAATGTTCAAGTAGAACTTGACCAAAGTCATTGAGATTTTAATTCCAAAAGTTCATCTTTTTTTTTCCTCCTGCAGCATGCAAATCACGGGGATCCAACCTGCGAGTGCATTTCAAGGTAGGCAGTGTGTGCATAGTAAGAAATGCAATTTCATTTGGTTTTGGTTTGGTTTTGTTATATTTTGTTGAGCATTTTTTGTAGGAAGGGTTTCTTAATCTGTGTCATTACATGGTTACTTAAGGGTGGTAGTGTAGGTTATGGCCTATGTTTGCTTTAGCTGCCTGTAATGGTTTTCATCTACAGGATCAAAAATAACATGTCCTAAAGAGTTTTCTCTCTAATACAGATAATAAAATACGCTAGGAAAACAGTTACAGTGACTTTACCAGAAGGAATGGGGCTAGAGTGAGATGTGACATTTGTTTCATTTGTCTGCCTTTCTGGTTGTTTGGAAGGAACATTGGATTCACCTGCTTATGCTGCTGCTCAAGAAGCATGGCAGGGGAGGCATGCGGTGTTTGGCATGAGTGCATAGGTCCCTCCGGAAAAGGTTTAGGTGTCGCAGTAAATCCAGGACATGTTTGAGTTAACCATGAAACCAAAGCTGAGCAGATGCTTTTTCTGCTCCACAGTGGTACATAATTCATGTGAAAACAGATTTCAGTTATCTTGATTTTCATTTTTACTATGATCAGGTAGGATTATAGTTACTCTCTGACCTGCATTTAATGTCTTAAGCACTAATACTTTAGCTTCAATTTTTCTTTCTTTTCTCTCCTTTATAATTCACTTACAGAGACAGAAACAATCTTGTGTTCTCATCACTTCCTCTGAGGTGCCATATTTGACATTTTAGTAGGAATTTATCCTTCAGGCTCCTGCTTCTTTGGTTTAGTGACCAAGGAGGAGCTATGAAAAGTATAGCTACTCAAATTTTTTTGTTGGTTGGAAAGATCTAGGTGTTAGGTAAAAAACAATAAAGATGTGTTAGAGCTGCAAATTCAGTAATGGCAGTCACACCAAGGGTTAGAAAAGTAGGTACCAAAAAAAAATAGTGTTCTTAATTATTTTTCATTTTTAATTTAGGTGTGGGGCTTTTTTATGTGTGTGAGTGCTTCCTTTAAATTGAGTTTGTAGCAAAAAGAATAGAATCCAGGACAGAGGAGTGATTTTGCTCACATTGTAACTTGAACAGATGTGTTAACAACTTCACTGTGCTCTGTATTGCTAGAACACTCGAGAGACTGCCCAGGCCATCAAGGGCATGCACATCTGCAAGGCCACCAAGTACTTAAAGGACGTCACCTTGAAGAAGTAATGTGTTCCCTTCTGGTGCTACAACGGAGGAGTCGGTAGATGCACCCAGGTGAGGTTCAAGATGAAAATGTGGGAAGGATGCTGTTTCTGGTTAAGAGGAAAAGATGATTTTGAGATGGTATGGAGAATAGTCTGTCATTGTTAATTATAACTTTGTATTAAAATATAGAATCATAGGATATTTTGGGTTGGAAGAGACCTTAAAGATCATCTAATTCCAGCCCCCCTGCCATGGGCAGGGACACCTTCCACTAGATCAGGTTGCTCAAGAGGGAGAAAAGAGTTACTTTTAATTCCAGTACAGCATTGCATCTACTTGCAGTGTCAAGTAATTCATCAAATTTAATTGTTTTGTTATGCAATCTTAATAGAAGGGGATGTAATGGCAAGTTAATGGTGCCTGAAGGGTAAATTGTATTGTACTGGGACAAAAATGGAATTATTGTTGTCTTCTTCCAGGCCAAGCAGTGGGGCTGGATGCAGGGATGCTGGCCCAAGAAGAGTGCAGAGTTCTTGCTGCACATGTTCAAAAATGCAGAGAGCAATGCTGAGCTCAAGGTAGGCTGTGTCAGTATTACTGAATGCAAAGTGTTCATGTCATGCTGTGCGTCAGCACTCCTGAACTGGGTGTCTCTGACATGGAAGGCCAGGTAATGTGGTATTCACATATCCTTTGAACAGAGAGAGACATAGACTTTCCCAGGAAAATCCTGGGGAAGGCTGTGAGAAAGCTCAGAAAAAGAAGAAAAACAATTCTTCATTTGCTGCATCTGTTGTTTGGCACATGTGGCATGTGTTATGGAGATTGTTTACCAAAGAGGGATTTCTTAATTGGACTCTGGTGATGGTGTTTTGATTTCATTTGACCAATTGGAGCCACGCTGTGTCAGGACTGTCTGTAAGGGTCACATTTTTTTTTTTTAGTGTAGTAGTAGTATAGTTTTAGTATAGTGTAATATAGTATAGCTTAATAAAGCTTTTGTTTAGCCTTCTGCAAACATGGAATCAATGCAAGTTATTCCCCACGGTGGGGGTCTGCTACAATAAGGTAAGGCCTGCTTTGTCAATAAAACTGAATTGTATCAAGGTGTTGGTGTACTCTTTGTTTGAATTAGTCTGTGTGTTGTTCAAGTTAAAATGGGAGTAATAATTTTTCACAGGGAGATAGTTTGCATGTGGTTATCAACTGTTTAAGTGGTGTTTAGGTCTCCTAAAAACTACAAAACAAAGCAAAATGTGAACTTTTGGTCAGTTTGTATTTTTGTAATATACTTAGTGCTTAATTTAGTAATTTTGATGGCAGTGGTGACTGTCTTAGGGCACCTTTGGAGTAACCATGAAATAATAATTGTCTCTTTCTGAGCCATTGGTGTAATTTTAAATTGATTGTGATGTGTAGAGGGGAGATCTCTGTTTTTCTGTCTTTGGAGCTTGCTCAGTTCTGTGACACTGCAAAATTTGGCTGTTTCGTTTTCCAGCAGTGGTATGTGTCTGGGGGGGGGATGATTATTCACAATTTTGTTGTGGAGACTATTTATTTGAAGATAAAAAACAAGTCACAAGTTTTATTCCTCTCCCTGCTAGGGTCTTGATGTGGATTCTCTAGTCATTGAGCACATCCAGATCAATAAGGCTCCCAAAATGTGCCGACGCACCTACAGAGCACATGGTAGGATCAACCCCTACATGAGCTCCCCCTGCCACATCGAGATGATCCTCACTGAGAAGGAGCAGATCATTCCCAAGCCAGAGGAGGAAGTTGCTCAAAAGAAAAAGGTAGAGCATCATACCCTTAAGTCCTCTTTAATGTCAGCAGCAGGAGAGCTGAGTGTTGATACTTGGAATTTTTCAGGCAGAAGGGTTGCTGTGATGACTATCTTAGGACACCTTTGGAATACCTATGAAAAACCTAATAAATTCTTTCTGAGCAACCTCAATATTTATTGTGAACACCACATTGATAACTTCAGAAAATGGTTTTCAAGGTTTTATATTGTACAGGGAGTTTGTTCTTCCCTTCCTCAGTCCATGTGTGTGAAACTGGGATGTGCTGCAATAAAATTTAAATTGTGAGTCTGTAAACAATGTAGTACTTGTAGAGACACTTAAGTACGTACAAGTACAATCAGTGGATCATTTTGTAAACATGTAAACAAATTTCTAACAGTTCTTAGTACCTTCAAAAGATAACTGTAAATTTATTTGTAACATGTTTTGAGAAGGTGTTTTCTCATTTTGCCATTTTCTCATTTCTGTATTTGTTTTTCAGATATCCCAGAAGAAGCTGAAGAAGCAAAAGCTAATGGTCAGGATTAAATCTGCTCTGCCAGATGTACATAAATAAAATGAGAAAGTTTCGATTTATCCTGTGTGTTTCTCTGCTTTATCTTCAGCGGGGTGTTGCTGTGGGACAGCCACAGGCAGTGACCACGGTAGTCGGGATGCTTGTTGTTGCAACGCTGGGGATGCTGTTGACTTACCGCTATTATTCATATATAAAGCGAGATAATTTGGAACACGTGCAGGCATTCATTTTCCTTGCCCCACTGTCCTGGCCCGTTCGGGGCGCCTGATGGTGGCTGGCGTCCACCGCCGGGCGCTAATGCGGCTCCTGGGGGCGGGGCGTCGGCCACATGACGCGAACGCCACCTTCTCCTATTGGCCGCGAGTGAGTCGGAAGCGTGGGGATTACTTCCGGTGTGGTAGAAGAAGTTGCGGCTGTCGGTAGAAGCGCTGGATTGGTGCCGACGGAGGTGAGTGTGGAGCGGCCTTCGATGGGACTGGGGCTGGCTCCCCCAGGGTCCTTTCGTAATCTGCCGCTTCTTTAGCTCGGCTGGGGGCTGCCCTTCTATGGGGCCGGAGCGGCTCCGTTAACCGGGAGCGGACGGAGTGAACCCCGATATGTGATAGCCCATGTTAAGGTGTGGAGCTCCTAGGTTTCAACGCGTGTTTGAGTGGAACTTCACCGATTCGGAAAAATATTTCTGCTCCCTCCTTTATTTCAGTGGGAGGGGGAAACGCCGCCGTGGGTTTTTTTGCTGTTTTTTTTTGTTGTTGTTTGGTTTTTTTTCTGTTTTTTTCCCCCTTGCTAACCAAGGAACAGAGCATCACAGAATCACAGAATAAAGTTGTGAACGGTATTTCACTCTATTAGGACAGGTGTTATACTTCCAATGGCTTGCTTTTGCATCTGGCAGAGGTACGACTTATTTTTTTGGTGTGAAATCTTCACACAAACTGGCTGCAGAGACACGTACAGTTGGCTCAGAAGGCCAGCCTGGGGTGTTCCTCCAGCCACGTTCTTTAGCTGGTGGACGAATTCACAAGATATTGCTGTAAATTTTGTATCTAGGAAGTTCTGGCAGAGAAATTATCTGAATTATCTTTTTGAATGGTTTTAAAGGATTAACTCATTTGTGTTCTTTTGACTGAAGATTTCTCTCTGACTTCATAAAGTAGATCCTGTAAAACTATATTTGAAGCAGCCAAAGCTACACTTGGAAGTAGTCAACTGAAAATTGATATTTTGTTCTTCCACAGGGCTAAAAAGTTTTAGGATAGCTCAAAAAAAAAAAAAAAGTGAAACTGATCCCAGATGAAGTGTGCACATCTGTCTCTTCATTCTCCATCTTGGAAAGCTTTTGTTTTTCTTCTTAATGTAAGAATTCAGATAGCAGCCTAGAAAGGAGGAATGTAAAGGGCAAAGTTGCTGCTGTGCAGCAGAGTGTATATATTGCTCAGCAGTGATATATATAATATAATACAATATATATTGCTCATCAGCACAGAGAGGGACAGCTCTAATCCTACTTAATTGCTTCCTCTCCCAGTTGAACTTTTCTGCCCCTGTGCTTTGGTTTCCCCCTTTTTTTCTTCGCAGACTTCAGGCTCCTGTTTTTGACGAGTTCCTCCTGGTTTGGGGAGAGAGGGAAGGATTAATTTTCTAATCGTTTGGCCAGTTGTATGGGACTGGTGTGGGATCAAGTGATTCCTCTTGCACTGGAGGAAGTAACCCATATTTTGCTTCTCTCAAATCTTGACTGGGATTCTCTTCCCCTCCCACGTACTTGCCCTTCAGTGGTAGCCAGCCATTGGGTAAATAGGAGTACTGCTGTTTAATTTCACCTTAAATAAAAAGGGAATATGAAAAGCAACCTTTTGGACCCACTGTTATAGTAAGAACTGGGCTAATATATGCAGCTTGCTGCTTAAACTGTTTTTGTGTGGTTTAAGCAAAAACCTTTATTTTCTGAATTTGTTTTTCCGAGTTGCTGCTGTAGGACTGATGAATTAATAGCAGACTCCTTTTTTGTAAAAATATTTTCCTTGTTGAGAACTTTATAAAATTGAAACACACAGCATTTTTGAAACATTAACAGCTGGTCTATAATTTAAGAATCTTTTATGTTTGAATAGAAACTAAAATCTTTCTTCATTATTTAAGGATACTTTTTTTAGCTCATGGCATACAAAGAGTCATCCTAAGGGGTTTTTTTGGTTTTTTTTCCTCACCAGCTTTTAACAGAACAAGAGGAAGCTATGGTGTGCATTCCTTGCATTGTCATTCCGGTCCTCCTCTGGGTCTACAAGAAATTCCTGGAACCATATATCTATCCTATTATCGCACCTTTAATTAAGCATGTGTGGCCCAAGAAAGCTGTACAAGAAACAATAGCCACAAAACAAGGTCGAGGAGGCAGCAGTGGAAATCCACAGGCACCTTCAGCCACGAAAAGAGATCAGGAGGATGAATCTGGAATTTATAAAGTAAGATTAATGCATTTAGCTAACCAGGGAAACTTCAGATAAAGTACCCAGCCATAGTTAAGCGGGAGCACAGCAAGAGAGTAAATTGTTGCATGTTTTTAGACATTTTTGTGGCTATTTTCTTATGAAAGGGAGCTGATGGTACTGAGCCAGCTAGAAATACTTACTTCTAGACAGCTTCTGGTAGGTCTTGGAAAGATAGGAATTGGACCTGTTTTCTGAAACAGCTTAGTTAATTTTTTTTTTAATGACTTGCTATTCTTTCAGAGAATAAAAAAGAGAAAAAAAAAGTCAAATGGTACATCACACTAGATACATGAAGCAGAATTTAAAAAAAAACAAAATACAGTCTTTAGCCACCTCTGCCTCTTGTAATGGGGGAAATGTTTAGTGCATCTAAATTGTGCATTTATTATTTAGCTCTTCTATCAAAATGCAAAGATTTATATATCTTGACTCTGCCCTCATTCCCCTCCTGAAGTAATAATTATTTGTAAATCTAAAGAGACACTGCCACTTTGGTTTTTGCTACAGATTTCATAGATCACTGGCCCTGCTTCTAAAAGTAATTTTCATCATCAGCTATTACTGTTCTGGATGTGAAGTCCTTTTTTAACATCCCATTTGTCATGCTGTCTTTTATTTGCAGTTTGCAAGCAATGGTGTTAAAATTGGAATTGCCACAAAGAGGTACACAAAAGTTTGTGACAAGAAAATGGATTAAAGGAATTCAGTCCTAAGGATTTTATTCCCATGTGTCCAATATAAACTGGTGGTATTTCTCCTCGCACGTTGAGACTTTTTTTCTTTGTGTGTTTTAGCTGAATAAAATCCCTTATGACTTACAGGAGAGAGTTTCTTTTGCCACAAAAATGGTGGCTAGCACATTTATTTTAAAATGTTTGAAAATTCAAGTTCTATTTTCCTCACTGGAACTGCTTTTCATCTATCATCCATTTGGTGTGATTGGAGTTTATGTTTAATAACTTATGAATAAATCTAGCTTTGAAAGGTAAATGTATCTTAGCATCTTTATTTAATTAACTGCTAGTGTAATCCTTCAGGCTTTCACCTTAAAAGCTATGGCTGTACTTGAGCTTGCTTAAGAACTATGTATTGCATTGTGGTGACAGACGTGTCATGTTTAAATTATGAAGAGTTTAGATTCTTCATGTCAAATCTGGGGATGAGCTAAAGGAGTTATGCTATATGTAAAATTAACTTACTAAAAGCAGAAAGTCTTGATATGATACTTCCATTAATCATTTTCCTGGAAATACTGTGCCTTTCTTTCCTGAAGCAGAGCAGCAGAGACATGATGCAAGAGAATTGTTGCTTTATATTGTGTTGCAGTGATTTAGAATGCTGCAGTCTGAAACGCGGATGAAAAATCAAAACCCCACAATTCCAATAAAGATTTGTAGGGACGGTATGTTTATTTTTACAGCGCTGGACGCATGTGGGGACTCATTGCCCTTCAATGGACATGTGCACCCCTGAGAACTCCCGATCCTTTTTTATTACCTTTACTAATTTCCATATGCATAGAACTTCACATTAGGTTCATGCATATTCATTATGCTGATTTCACATTACACTTACAGCTAGTTACACTTGTACTCAGTTTGTTGTCAGAAAGTACAGAAAGAACTTCTGGGTCACACTGCCCTGTCTGTTTCAAGGTCCGAGGAGTCTTTCTTATCTCTTATCTTTTTAGTGTGGAAATTTGCATTCTTTTCTCCTTAGCTGGGGCAACTTTGCTACTGCTGCAGTTACCAGACTAAACAGCATATTTCACTTATGTTAGCAAGCTCAAAGTGGCACATTTCACCTAAATCCAAATGTATTTCTACCCTGTTAAATTTTCACTCTGTCTCACAGTCCTGTCTTTCAAAAAAACCCCACCCTCCAACTAAAATCTCTAACATGCTTGAGGAATTTGAATTATAATAAACCAGGATTTTATTTAAAAATAAGTTGCTTCATACAATTGTTCTTAGGCTTCTGAGCTATAAATATATGAAATGGTAACAAAGTTTTTGAAAACCTGGAGACAGGCCCCAGGCAGAAGGAGACCATAAAACTACTGACTTCATAATAAAGACCAACTTTGCCTCCTCCTGATCTGCATTCCAATTGTGAAGCGTTTTAGATGTCTCTGTGCTTAGTAAGGAATAAAAATTAATTCCTGCTTTGTCCTCTCTGCCAAAACAGAGTACTCTTTAAAAGATTCAAAACCAAAACCATTTCAGCAGTTTTGGATTGTTATTTAAGATTTATTTTCCCTAAAATCCTACCTAAGATATGCCTAAAAAGGCTATGCTATTTTCCCATTGGTTTTGATCTCTATATAATTGGATATTTTGCCCACATTGTTGCAACAAATTGTACCTTTATCGATGAGAACTTCACCTGGTAAAAGGTGGGTGTAATCTTTGCTGGAGTGGATTGGGTTTTCTAAACCAATAAACCCCCATCTCACCCTAAACAATAAGTTCCTCTGCTACCACTACTGTCACAGTTCATGTTCTAAATCTGAAAGCTGGGAACTTTCTAAGGGTTTGGAATCACCTTGCAATGAGAAAGGAGTAAACTGCCTGAGAAAGTCACTCCCATGTATTTCAAATGGCTGTAGAAATGGAGATTGATGGCATGTGTGCAGCTGAAAAGAATTATGTGTTCTGACATTGAGTATCCTCACAATGTGTGTATCCTCACAATCTGAAAAGATTGTCCCTTCTGCTGTGCTTCCTGTCCCTGAGCAGGTATCATCAGCCACTGCTTTAAAATGTTGGGCATCTCATAAACAGGCCAAAATTTTAGAGTATATCCACCCCTAACAGATGTGAGCACAACAAAAGTAGAGCAAGAGCTGTACCAGGACTCCTTCAATTTGTAAATGTATGCAGTCAATTTAGAAAGTATACATAATTAATTATTAATTATATTATTAGTAATTAATATAATTACTATTATAATTAATAATAATTTGTTGGTTTATTATTAATTATATCAATTATTTTGAGTTATTTAGGATAATATTATACAAGGAAGTACAACAGACTAACATGGAAAATAAAGTGTATAGTAAATTAGACTGTAGGCTGAACTAGGCTTCTAGCGGTGTGCCAGCCAGGACCGTATTTAAACACCAGGCCTACTGAAAAGACTGTCAAAAACAAACCAGGCAGATAATGTGAGTAAAATTATACCAATTTGTGCCTTCTGGAATGGGGTTTCAGTACATTTATTAGCTGCATTTAAATTCTAACTTGAGTATTCTGCATCATGCAACTTTCTTGAATGAGATACTTCACTGGAGGTTCCGGCAGACTGGTGTTACAACTCTTCTGTTCCTGTTCTTTTCCAAAAATAGGTCAATAATCTTATTGTGTTGGGAATAGTAAAACAATCAGGTGAAAGCAAAGGAACTGCCTGAGCCTGATCATCTGCTGGCATGCAAAGAAGTGTACAAAGCCTTGCTTAAGAAAAATAAGTAGACAAAAATTAAGGAAATATGGAAAATGCATATTAAATGATTGGCTTATTGTAAATATTAAATTGAATACTATATGTGTTATGTTGGAAAGTTATTTTGTAGTACTGTATTAATCTTTTTTAAGTAGTATGGTAGATATAGTTTTAGGTTATAGCATAATATTAAAATAGAAACTATGTGATGTAAGGTATTTTTTTAACTAGCTCAAGAAAGGGATGAGATAATAAAGAAATTCTTCACACAGAGATAACAGCAACAAGACACCTAAAGAGTTACTGCCTCCTTATCAGAAAAGACAAACAGTCCTACACCTCCTCTCCATCTTTAAGGAGCCACCAGGATTAAGGGGAAGAAGTTAATGATAACCAGACAACACCCTTTGTTTGAAAAGAATTTATGCATCATGTATGAGATATATGAATATGCAACAGGCTATTGCTTTTAAGGGGTAATCTTTGTTAGTGACCTATGCTTTCCTTCTTGAAAGCATCCAGACGTCCATAATTCTTTGCTTTTTATTGTCCTTTATTGTCCTAATTCTGATTGTCCAAATTCTTATTGCTCTAATTTTTATTAGTCTTTTTATAACTATTTTATTACTATTAAATTTTTTAAATTTTAAAACAAGTGATTGGCGTTTTTCACAGAAATAATTACATGAGAGAATAATTGTCCTAGGGTGACAATTTTCCACTTCTCTCCAAGGAAATTTTTCCTGAACCGGTTGGGGGGAGGGGCCATGTGGGTTTGCTTTCTTGGGGGGGGGGGGCCTTTTGGAGGTTTTCTCCCAAATTTACCCTAAACCAGGACAAATAATATATATCAAATAAATTGAATTTAACTGAGAAAATTCCCATATTTTTTTTACGCACTAAAACCAAGATTTACAAAAGGACTTAGGCACATAATGATGTAGCAGCTTCATTTATAGCAAAGACTTTTAGAAGATTGCAGAGTAGGCATCTTTAGGGCTCAAAGTACTGCAAATCTAGTCCTAAGATCTTCAGCACTAAAGCTTTCTGGTTTTGTTTAAATAATATTGAGGAAGGATCAAAAAAATCAATACTTGAAAATTGTTGAAAAATAATTCAAATCAACTAATTTTGAATATATTTTTTATGGGCAGGTCTAAATGTCACGGTACCTTCCATATGTTGGTTTGCAAAGGTAACTGGATGCCAAGGACTTAATTTAAATACATGTTTTTAAAACTGCAGGTATATGCAAAATAATCTTAAAAGTTGAGAAAGTTTTATGTTGCTAATTATTTTCATGGGCCTGATTCTACAAGCAGAGAATTGAACATGATTAGCCCCTAAGGATGTCTAAACTAATAATGAATTCTGCACAAAATTGTCTTTATTCGGATGTGTTCATAAAACACATTTAAATTCTCCCCACAAAGCTGATCTAATGACAGTAGTACAATTTGTTGTTATTACTGAAATATAGCAATCACACCCAAACCTTCTGGGAGCTGTTGGACATGCTGCTTAGGTTCAGTCCTGGAGTCATTCCTTCTTGATCTCGGTACAATGCAGAATTTTATTGCTGAAAGAACAGTTGTTTCAGAGGCTGCAGGTAAAGGAAATTAAGAAAAAATTAATTTACACTTAGATTAACTAAATTTGCATTCAATGAGAAGTAATTCTGTTTCATTAAACTACCTAAGACATGAAAGTAGGGATTGTCTTCCTTGTGCAGTTTTCTAATTCTTCCAGCCACTCCTGACAGAAAATCAGCTAGTTTCACTGGGAGCCCAACTTAAATGCCTCTATGCTTCCAGGTGGGGTTGTTTGAAACGATATAACTGTCCTAATTAATTTTTCTAATGAATTGTTTAATTAACTTTTAAATTAATTGTTTTAATCATAATCAGTGTATTAGTCTTAAGCAGTGTAATTTTCCACTTTAACCAGCACGTAGCTAAGCTTTTCTCACAGAGGGCTATTGTTAGAGTGCAGTTATTAGATTACTGAAACTTTAGGTTTTGCTAAACTAACTCTGATAAGCTTCAATGAACAAAACCTGGGGGAGTTAAAGTCTGAACACCTGGAATCCAGAATATATAGCTCTCCAAGGATATGTTGAAGCAACCAGAAGATAAAGAAGAGATTAACAAAGACGATTCATTACCTGCTGGAAACTCCCTGTTTGGGAAAAAGATAATAAAAAGAGTGAAAAATGTGGACTAATTAGCATGAGAAGTGAGAAATCAATAACCAATAGAAGACAGAATTCTAATTAATGAAGAGAATTATTTAATTTAAAACCATTGAACAATCATTTCTTTGTTTGCTAAAAATGTATAAATAAGTGAAATGTTTTGAAAGTCATGTGCATGTAGGTGGAGCCATTCCTATGCACCCTGGCCAGAATAAAGTAATGCCTACTCCCTAATACTAAAAAAAATATTAGAGGGTTTAATTTATCCCAATGTTTTTGGTGACAATTTTTGGTGACCCAGATGGGACAACTGCTTTTGACGTGCCATGGATTCATGGGATCGAGAAGGGCT